ATGCTTGTGGATCGCCTGCAGTTGAGTTGCGAGGGCACCACAACTGCGGGATTCACGCCACTTCTGGAGCAATTTGATAAAGGAACAGCCACGCAGGAAAGGGGGGCGGAGGAACGTGCTGAGGGCAACCTCACACCGCTGAGAGTGTATTTCCGCAACAAGCGACATAGTCTCTGGGGCCACAGGCTATGGAATGCGGCGAAGTACATGGTGAAACGGATGGACAGTCGCATGATTGATGTGCGCGGCAAGACTGTGCTGGAGCTTGGTGCCGGGCTTGGAGTTCCGTCCCTCGCCGCTTTCCGCAACGGTGCGCGTTGTGTGGTGGCAACGGACTACCCTGACGGCGACCTCCTGGAAATTCTGGAAATGAACGTGAAGGCAAACTGCAGGGCTGATTTGATCGATGCTGATGCTGCGGCTTTCTTATTGCAAGAGGCAGAGAGGCTAAAATTGGCACAGGGGTATGAAAAAAGCGGCGAAACGGTGTTTTCTGAGGCAGAGCGTCAAAGGGCGCTAAGCACGCGCTGCGTCGTAGAGCCACTGCTGTGGGGCAAGCAGGAACACATCCAAAAGGTAATGTCATACACTGGTGGTGGTGGCTTTGATATTGTACTGCTCTCGGACATTCTCTTTAATCACGTCTGTAACGATGACCTTGCGGACACGATTGTACGTGTACTGCAACGTAGTCAACATGCCGCCGCGTATTGTGTCTTCTCACACCACCGAGCGCATAAGCAGGTGGAGGACTTGGAGTTCTTTGACAAGTGTGTGGCACGTGGTCTGCGCTTTGAGCAGGTGGACGAAGAGAATTACCCCATGATGTTTCCCGATGACAGCGGCCCGGCAGAAATTCGGCAGCCTGTCAAAACGTATAAAATTGTTCATTATTTCGATGATGCCGGAATGGCGTTTCAGCCTGGAAATGACGTATTTGATGTTGTCATTCAGGGCACGGGGATGGTGGAGTCCATAGTGTCTGCGGCACTCGCTCGAAGCGGAATCCGCGTGCTTCACTGCGATGGTGAGGATGACTACGGTGGTGCCTTCAAGACCATGACGGTGGAACGAATGCGAGAGTACATTACAGGCCCCCTACCCGCATCGCTGGACGGTGCGGCCGACAACAGGGACGGGAGGGGTGACCACGAGGAGAACCATCCACGCTGCAACGACGGAGTCATTGCCGTGGACCGCATGGATGAGCTCAAATTGCATGAACGGCGTAGCTTTCTACTGGATCTACTACCAACGCATAACCTCTCGAATGGTGAAACTGTGCGTCAGCTAATCACCTCTGATATGGCACGCCACATGGAGTAGCAATGCTTCGGTGGCTACACCTTCATGATCCCGTCGAGTGAGGGTGGGAAGCAGCTGCGAAGCATCCCTCTCTCCCGTGCGCAGGTTTTTGCTACAAATCATATGAGCCCTCTACAAAAGCGCCGTCTGATGAAATTCGTGAAGGACGTGGAGGCACCACTTGCAGAACAGCTGCATGCTCTTACGGCGGATGTCGGGGACGATTCACTCTCAGAGGCTGCCTTGGAAAGGTCCCGCATTGCCTCCGAAGAGGCGAAACGTATGTTCGCACAGGAAATTCATGAACACCCCAACGAAACGTTATCTACCATGATTGAACGTAAGTATGGCATTAGTGGAGCCGCAATTGACATAGTGACACTCCTGCGACAGCTGGATACTCAACCTGTGGATGTGTTGCACTCTGTGGAGTTGGTGAGGCAAGTCCTTACTTCTGTTGGAGCCTTTGGGAGCATGACGCCTTTTATTCAGCCCGCCTACGGTACTAGTGAAATGCCGCAGAATATGTGTCGTGTTGCCGCAGTATGGGATGCCACCTTTGTGCTGCGACGTAGTCTACTTTTGCCCTGTTGTCATCGGGAGAAAAGTGCTGTGGATCGAAGCACGCCGTCGATTGAGATGAGCAACCGTCAGCGTGTAAAGACGAAGGTGGTATTGGTGCCCCGCACATTGGCCAGCCATTTCTTGGCGTCGTCATCATCGTCTTCTTCTTTTTCTCCTGCTCCCGCCGAAACACTGACGGTGACGGAGCATAATAATAATAACATTATTAACAATAAGGTGCGTTTCTCTCGCGTCATTATGGTTGCAACGACGCCGCTTGTCTCATGGACCGCACTGCGATCTGCCGGCTGCACGGATGACGAAGTGGCTGGAAAAGATGATACGATACAGTCGTTTCCGCCGCTCTTCCTTGCACTGTGTGAGGTACGGCCTGGTGTGGTGGTGCACATCCAGCAGGTGAGCGCCGCCTCGGAACAGGCACCAAACGATGGGAGTTCTGTTGTTGTGCATTTCACAGCAAATGCGCGGGAGATGGGCGCGGAGGAACTGCGCCAGTTTGTTTCGCAAACATTTGTGCGGCATGCTTCCTCTCCAGATGTTAATAACTGTCATTGGATAGATTCAACGGCGTTGCTCTTTCTTGCCTCCTTCACGGTGAGGGAGGAAGTGGAGGCACTGCGGGGTTTTGTCCGTCCCGTTGCAGTGGACGGGTCCGACGTCAGTGAGACACGCAAAGCCCACCCGTACGCCGTGGAGGAATACCGCAAGCGCCTGCGTAAACAGCGGCAGATATGTGGCGGGGACTCGGATGATGTCGATTACTCTCCCATAATTTTGCCCGTGCAGACACTTTTTCCGAACCTTATTGACGATAGCGCATATCTTCGGGCAGCACGGCAGGTGTATGACGAGGTGGTGAAGAAGCTGCAGCCACAAGAGGGCAGCGGTAAGACGTACACATTCCTCGAACGGCTACCACCGATTTCCGGGCTGGAGTTGTGAGGGGAGCGGAGACGAAATGGACAATAGGAAAGCCATGTTTCTCATGTGCTTCACATTTGGGGAGTTTCGCATCACTGGAGGACGCTGGAGTGTGTGGGAAAGTCCGATTTGATGGAAAAGCACAAGCCGAAAAGGAATCAAAAACAAATAAAAAGAGAAAAAAAAGAAGGAAGTGGCTATGGACACGATGAGAAGTGACAACCAGCAATAAATGAGAGGATAGAATAAATGGGGAAAGAAGACATGCAGATATGTATATATGTATATATATATATATATATATATATATATATAACAGGAAGAGGAATATTGTTGTGCTCTTTTCTTGCGATGCTTTGACCGTTTGCTTTCATTCTGTCGGCATGGACGTGTGTGGAATAATTTGTTTTTGTTTTTCCTTGACTGCTGCTCCCTCCCCCCTTTTTATTTTTTTTTCATTTCTCTCCTTGTTTGCGTATCCATCATTGTGGTGAAGTATATAACATTATACGTAGTGACAGTTGTGCGATGCTGTACGACCGGACAATCGCCAAGGCACTTTTAGCGCTCACTACATCCCTTTACGTTTATTATGTCCTTTGGATAGGGGTGACGCCGTTTATTGACCCTTCACACTTCACACAACATTTGTTTCCACCGCGGGAATACGGTCTGCTGCTCGCGAGCGTTGTGATGACGGTAGGATTAGGCCTTGCTTTGACCGTGGCGTCCGTGCACACAATTCTGCGCACAGGCATGGAAGAAGAGGAAGAACAGAGAGAAAGAGGAAGGGTACAATCTTGCAAACACAATGGCTGTGTGGAAAGATGAGGTGCGCAGGGCCTTTTTTTTTTTTTTTTTTTTTTTTGACGTGTTGCGCAATTTGCATTTTTTGATGCATGAAGGGAGGAAGAGAAAAGAAAAGAAAAAAAAAAAAAAGAATTTTTATGAGGCATTTGCGCCTCTCTCTCTCCTGTCATTTTGGTTCCTAATTCAATTGCAGCGATATCCTTCCGTTTTTTTTTTCCCCCTGCTGTGTGTGTTTGAGAGGGATAGGGGTTTGGCACTCTTCGCGTCGGAAGTCATGTGTTTTCGTTTTATTGCGTCGTCATTGTCTCCCACAGTCGTGCTTTTGTCTCACGTGTATACGGTGCCGATTGTGGGCTCTCTGGAGTTCCTTCTCTTTTCTTCAGTCTCTCCCTCTCTCTCCCACTGTGTGTGCGTGTGTGTACGGGTCTTGTTGCTCCTTGCATGTTGTTTTGCTTCTTTGTTTGTTTGTTTTTTTTTGTTGTTGTTGGACGGACTCGGAAAGCTCTGGCAGTTTCTCTCTGTGGAAGAGAGAAAGAGAGAAGGAAAGAACATTTGAGAAGATGTCAAGTTTGTTTCAGTCATACGTCTTGTGGGTTCGCGATAATGCGGAGAATGCGCTGAGTGTTGAACGTTTCACGCAGCTGATAATCAGGATTGTCACAGACCCGCGCAATTTCATGACCACAGAATTCGCGTGGACACTGGCCAATCTTCACTCGCTTTCGAATAGGATGATCATCTCCACGGCTGGTAGGCGTGTTGGATTCACCGAGAAAGTAGCCATAGTCATCAAGACGCTGGTGGAAATTGAGTGTCTGCTGGAACTGGGACTTCGTCGCTTCTTTGGCCATGAGGCGGCATGGACTGTCTTGCTGGCGCTTCAGTCCATCAAGTGCGTTCTTAACATGCTTGTGCACCAGCAGCTGTTCCTTGTGCCGTGGATATGGGCTGCCGTGCGCCAGCGGCTGCAGCTGATGCTGCAACAATTCATGAGGCTTCCAGATTACGGCCGACGGATATCCTTAGCGGTTGCGGAGGGGTTCAGCGCTTTGCCTCCCACTCATGTCTCTTTCGCGCCTGTGCGGTCCGGCACAGTTGGTCCAGCGAACGTACGCCTTGTGATCCCTCGTGTTGCGCTGCGACAGAGGCATCACAGCACCCCAGCGGGGTTTGGCGAAAAGGAGAATGTTGTGAAAACCAGTGAGTCCCTTCGGTGTACGGGAATCGATTTATTGGGGCTTTTGGTCGATCTTGCCCTGGTGCTCCGACCGTTATTGTTGCTGTATTTTTCCAGGCGTGCATTCCCGTATGGGAGAACAGGCATTGCCACGCTGCCCGTTGCGCCCATGGCTTCTAGCCACATGCGTAGCAGTGAGAAGGATGCAACGCCTGCGATGAGTGATGCGGATGAATATGACGGTCTGTTCCTTGTGCGGGCGGCGATGAGTGACGGGGTTTCCAATTCTCTGCTCTCCAGCTGGGGTGTGGGGTTGTCGTTCTTTGGCCTGGACACCGTACTCGCCTTGCTCTCGCGCTACATCCGTCGTCACCGTGTGCCTGTTGTCTACATCAACAACAGTGAGACGTGCGACCTTCCGGAGTCGGACGTCGGGGCGAAGGACGGTGAATTTTCATCTCGCAGTAATGACGTCAACAGCCACTCACTCCATCACCTGGGCAACAGCACCAGCGGCAATCACGCCAGCAGCAACGGCTCATCTGCGCCCCTGCCACCACTTTTGCCGCGGCCTCCGACGGGTGATGTGGCAGAGCTCGCCCCTGTTCTCTCACGCGATAGCCTTCGAGTGCAGCAGATAGTTCGCAATATTGCCTTCTCCTTCCTGCGCGACCCCTTTTTCCCGGCACTGCTGCAGAAGTTTGTGTACGAGCATTTTGTCGTGGGGCGTGTGAACCGCATTCCGGTTTTAGGGCCAATTTTTGGATTTCAAGTCGCCTACTTCCTTTGCAAGCAGCACTACTGCTTCATGTACCTTCTCGAGTAGCGATGACATGCATACACGTATCCATTGTAAATGCGTGTGTATGTCTATAGGTGGGTGAGTATGTTTTTTTTTTTTTTTTTTTTTTTTTTTTTGGAGTACAGGCGTTGCGGAGAAGAAAAGAAACGAAAAACTGGGACAAAATGTTACGGTTGATGAGTTCCTTTTGCTCAGAACACAAACGGAAGCAAAAAAAGATGAAAAAAAAAAAAAAAAGGAATTCCCTTCAAAGAACAAAATATGAAAAGAAATGTATAAATCACCTCCGGATGGTGGACTAGAAGAATAATAAAAGAAAGAAAAAGGGAGAAATGGCGAAAGAGTGTCATTTGATGCGAGGTGGACGGTGGTGGGTGTGTGCTTTTGGGTCATCTCGGTTTGAATGGAAGAGGGGAAAGGAACAATGAAGGCGTTTTAAGGCGAAGGAAGGGACCATCACTACATTTACATAAATCCAGACAATGAGAGTTGGGGGGAGAAAGAGGGAGGTGGATGGCCCATGCGATGTTTATGGACGAACACTCATCGGTGGTGATTGAACCGATGGAATGCAAAGTCATCACGTTGAACTTCAAAGGGAGTGTCTTTTTTTTTTTTTTTTTTATGTCTGGTGTTTGCCTTGTAACGGCGCAGTGCCACGGTATTGCAGCAAACAGAAATACGCATACATTCTTGCATATTAATATGTAAGATAAGGCTACTTTTGTTGTGGTTGTTGTTTTTTGGGGGAGAGAGAGGGCGTTTTTACCCTTTTCATTATTTTTCTTTATTGGAGCTGGGGGAGTTTGGGTTCCGATGTACTTTACCTCTTATTTCTTTTTTGCTTTGTCTTACTGTTGGCCTCTCACTGCCGTGGTGTGGGGAAAGGGAAATTAAAGAGGAGGCGGGAGGCACAAGAAGAATAAAGTAATTAGGGGGAACTGCCGGGCGGTTTGGAGGTAAAATTTGGGCGCACATTCCTTGGAATAGGCAACCGGCTGCACGCAGAACGTTGTGCACGCGTGGAGGAGAGAATTGTGGGAGGCGATGATGAGTACGGGTGCGGAAGTAGAGGCGATGAGAGAAGGGGTGAGCCGCGACGAGGCGGGGGCGTTGGAGGCGACACAAGCGGTGGAGTCGGCCCTGCAGCGGTACCGCAGTCATGTACGCGGGAAAATACTCGGGGAGGCGCTTGTTGAGTCCTCAACCCTCGCCGCCGCGGCGCTGGAGGAGATGACGCAGTCGCATGCCCGGACAGTGGAGGAGCTGAACGCACAAATTGCGGGGCTGCAGGAACAGATGTTCGAGGCGGCGGCAGTCATTGAGGCACTTGGGGGAAAAATTGCGGGGGACACAAACACTTCTTCGTCCCCCTCCGTCGCGCGACGCTCATTCGCTCTGGATGTGTGCACCACCTCACGTGAAAAGGGAGATGAGAGCACATGGATGCCCACAGAAACGGAGGAACTTCGGTTAACGGAGGAAAAACAGCAGCGCCTTTCATCCCTGGGGGAGTCGACATCCGATGCGTTTCATACGGCGCAGAGTGGCAGTCGTGGCACAGGCAGAACCGCCCCGCCGGAGATCGACGCGACTCACTCCGCACTCTATGCAGAACTGCTTCAATGTCGTGGCACGCTAAAGTTACAGCAACAGCAGCAGGCATCAATGGAAACGCAATTGAAGGAGTTGACTGCGTTGTTATCAAGGGTGGTGAAGGAGAACGCCACGTATCGGCAAGAAATTCAACTGCTGCGTGCGACAACTATTCCTGTCGAGGAGCACCGGCAAATCCTTCATGAGCGTGACACTCTGGAGCAGGAGTGTCGTTACAAGGAACTGGAATTGCAGCATCTAAAAGAAGAACTGGAAACGGCGTTGAACGGCTTGATTTCGCAGCCGCAGGAAGGGACGAGCCTACTTGATTTGGGTGTCATTCATGAAGGTGCCCCTGTACAGCCTTCACAACCCTCCTCATCGTTCATGTCAGCAGCGCCGAGGGGGGATGTCACACACGGCACGGGTGAGAAGGATACAATCGTGTGTTCTTCTCACATTTCAACGGCGGAGGGTTTGGCTTCTGATCCCAGTTGGAACGAGGAGGGGTTGCAGCATGCGGGACTTTGGAAGACGGCAATTCGTGAGCTGGAGCAGCAGGCAGTTCTTGCCGCATCTCAACTATCTGCAGCCGAACGACTGCGTGAGGCAGAGAGCCGCATTGAAGAACTGGAGGCGATCCAGGCGGAACTGCGCACCTCGCTGGAAACGTTGGAGGCGGAAGACAAATGTGTACGGGAGGACTGTGGGCAACTGGTATTCCGAAATGCGGTCCTGTCTCAACAAGTAGCCTCCCTGCTTGTACGAGTTGAACGGCAGCGCCGTGCATTGGAGCGGCAGGAGAAGATGAATCTGTTGGTGGAAGAAGGGGATGCTGTTTCCGACTCGGAAATACTTCTTGCAGGCGAGGAGCCTCTCCGTCCGGACAGCCGCCGTGCACAGAGGGGCCGCGTGGCGTCAGCCGTTCAGTCCCTCCTAGAGCGTCGCCGTGCCGTCTCTGCGTTCGCCCCATCGTCGCCGTCGGCGGGAGGAGCTGCAGAGGTGACAAGAGGAGGAGGGAATGGTCGTGGCAGTTTTTTGGACATGACGCTTCAGCCCGCCGAACCGCTGGAAGTTGAGGGCGGCTTGCGAACAGGGCTGGGCGTGTTCGCCAGGAACTCACACCGTCCGCGCCGCTCGCTGGCGTTGCGCAACTTGGGTTCTCCATCCGTAGAGGTGGACTTCACACGCGTTCCGCAGCTCCCGGCGACCGATCAGCTCACCGGCGTCGCGCTGGGACGTCCATCGCATTACGCGACACTTGACCCCGCCCGGCTCATGACAGCAGATAACAGCAGCGGCAGCAGCAGTCGTCACACGAATCATAACGATTTTCACAGCGTAGGCTCATCGGGCTCTGCCACAAAGACTTTATTTGTGAGCGACAACACAGAAGAGAATAGGCAGTTTCTTGAGCTCCTCCGCGAAGACGAGAACTTGGACCGC